GTTGATCTTTTGCTACACAGAGTTTCCATGCAATATAGTCGTCGTCGTCGGCGCCATGGCCTAGATGTCGATAAAGTTCCCCGTTGGTGTAGGTGTAGTCGGGATATTTCTGAGGCTCGTCCTGGACTTGTTTTATCCTGCGCTGGAGCCAGGGACAGGCTGTCTTCTCCTCTTCGATCCGTGCGAGTGTTCCTAATGGCTGCCTGGATAGTGCATCTGCAACTACGTTCTGTTTTCCCGCTTGATAATGCACGTCATATTGGTATTGCTGAAGTTCGAGGGCCCATCTCGCCACTCTACCATATGGGCTGTCAAGCGTATTTAGCCATTTTAGCGCGAGATGATCGGTGATTACATCGAATCGGTACCCTTCCAGGTAGCAGCGTAGTTTTCGAATGGCCCAAATGACCGCTAGGCACTCCTTGTCGGTAGCGGAGTAGTTTTCTTCCACCTGGTTCAGTCGTCGGCTGACATATGCTATGACTCGTTCTTTGCCTTCGATTTCTTGGGTGAGAACTGCGCCAACTCCTAGATTATCCGCATCTGTTTGCAGCGAGAACTTGACGTTGAAATCGGGGCACGCAAGGACGGGGGCGGTCGTGAGAAGTGTCTTCAGTAGGTCAAAAGCAGCCTGTTGTGCTTCGGACCATACCCATGGTTGGTCCTTCTTGAGTAGGCGAGACATCGGTTGGTCGACCGTCGCGAAGTTTGATACAAATCTTCGGTACCAGGACGCCATCCCGATGCATTGACGAAGCTCTTTTAGGTTGGTGGGCGGCCGGAGTTCTTTGACGGCGGCAATTTTGTCGGGGTCGGTGTGGATTTCCTGATTGCTGATCATATGGCCGAGATACTTGATTTGGGTTTGAAAGAACGCGCATTTTTCCGCATTTATCCTTGGATTCGCTTTCCGGAGTCGGGAAAAAACCACTTTCAAGTTGCGTAGATGTTCGTTGAAATCTCGTCAACGAGATTTGTCTGTACCAATCACAGTGTCCAGAGCCCGCTGAAATGTTGATAATGGGTGGGTGCCGAGTTCAGTCCAAAGGGCATTACCTTCTATTGGTGGAGGCCCCGGCCCGGTACGGTGAAAGCTGTTGCTTCTCTACTTCCGTCGGCCATGGGGATCTGCCAGTATCCGTTTTTCAGGTCGAGGGTGGTGATGAACCGCGCATTTTGTAACCGTTCCAAAATATAGTTGATCCTCGGCAGCGGGTATGCGTCGGGGATGGAATGCGTGTTGAGTTGCCGGTAGTCCACGCACATGCGCCATTTCCCATTCTTTTTACGGACGAGTACAATTGGGCGCTGTGGGGGCTACGGGAGGGCTCGATGAGGCCTTCCGAAATCAATTGGTCCACTTGTTCATCAATTATTCGCATCATTGCTGGATTCTTAGGATAGTACCGCTGTTTTATGGGCCGGTGATCCCTCATGACAATAGTGTGCTTGGCGATGTCCGACGTCCCGTGGAGGCCATCCAATTTTGGTAGCTCCTCATCTAGAAATGCTTGGCTAAGTCTGGCGGCCACGGCTCCGGGACTGGTTCAGGCTCATGTTCGGTTGGGTCGGCGGCTTCGGAGTCAAGTGGTTGGCGGGGGTCTTCTGGTAAGAGGGTTGTATCGAAGGCGCTGGGCGGTTCGATCCTCCGTTGGTAGTCGCTTATGTGGGCGACGATGGGTGTGGTGTCGACCATGGGTATGATGTTTTTGTACGCTGGGTGTAGTACTCGTGTTATACTACAGCCAGACTGGTACGTGAACAGGTGAGTCGCGATGACGCCTCTGTTATCACAACAACGACTTGTATGGGCGACGATCGTTGTTTCAATGGCGCATAGGAAGTCCATGCCGACGATAACTTGATCCAACATGTTTGGTAGGACAAGGAGGGGTATTTGAACTTCTCTTAGATCCAGTCTGATGTGCGCCAGTAGAATCTGGGTGATCTCTCTAACCGAGCCGTCGGCCAGGCGTATGCGGACGCATGCATCTTGTAGGTTGGTGTTGTTGTCTAGTTGTCGGACGAGGTTTGCACTGATAAAGCTTCGGGATGCCCCTGTGTCGACGGTGGCTTCCGTTGCCTGTCCTCCTATGGTTACCATCGCCACTATCCGGCCGTTGCTTACGTGTAGAGAGTTATTTAGTCGCGGGTTGGAGGAGGCGTCGTTCTCGGCTGATCCCGTGTCAGTCAAGGACGCGAGTCGTTTCCCGACGTGTTCTGGCGACAGCAATCGATGGTCCGTGTGCCGCGTTTGCCACATTCCCAGCAGAATAGGATGGGGGGATTATGGCAGTCCTATGCCGCATGCCCCGCTTCACCACACCGGCGACAGGCTGCGCGTGGGTTGGCGATGGGGGTCGTGATCATGCGATGTGATACCTCGGGATTCGCCGTACTGTTTGGATGAGCTGGTGGTCTCCCTGGTGTGTCTGTCGATTCCCAATGGGGACTCAGAAATGGCGTCTGGTGCGAGTCGCAATTCCTCGGCTCTGAAGCCGGCCTTGCGTATCTTGGAGTGTTACGCGGGTTTGCGAAAGTGGTCGGGATGGTCCGCTCTTGGATTCTCTCGAACTCGGTGGCCAACATTGTGAGCTGTGCTAAGCTTTGTAGTTCGTGTCGCCGCACGTACATCTGGTAGGCTGGGAGGGCGTTGTCGTAGATCCTGGTTAGCTCCTTGGTTGCGTCGTACCCAGCGTGGTGCATAAGTAGACTTATCTCGATGAGGAAATCTTTGAACAGTTCCCCAGCCACTTGCTTGCGGGCTCGGATCCGGTCTTCCAATTGTTCAAAATACCGTGGTGGCAAGAAGAACGTTAAGAATTCCTGGCGGAAATTTTCCCATGAGGAACTTTGTAGGCGGCTGGTGCGGAACCAACGGCTGGCACGGTCTGTGAGAAGTTCGGCCATGGCCCGCGGCAGCAGGTTTGTGTCCACCCTATACGAAAGCGCGCGTTCTTCGAGCAGCTCGATGAATGATAGAGGGTCATCTTGGCCGTCAAACTGGATTCCCCACTTTCGGATGCGTTCCGCCATTGGTGCAGCGTGGTTGTAGTGGTGCCCTTCCATGGGTCGTTCGATCGCTGGCAAGACGCTCGGTCCGGGTGCTGGGTGGGTCTCTGTAGCTAGGGGCCTTGGAAACGGGGCTGCAGGAGTGCGGTATTCGGTGGCTGCGGGGACTCGTAATCCGGTCTTAGGATCCATTTGGCGAGTGTCGAATGGTCCAGGAGTAGTGGGCAGTGGTGACTTGGAACGAGAGCGTGAGGCTGGTTTGGCATAGTGCCTCTCGAACTCTCCTAGGCGAACCCAGGCTTCTTGCGCGAGTGGCCCGGCGACTAGTGCAGCAAATTTCTTTCGGCGTTCATCGACCGTTCCTTCGCTGCCGAATCCGAATTCCTCGGCGAGGACTTCTAGTTCGTCCCGACGGAGTTTGTGGATCCAGCCGGTGCTGACCCCTGGATTGGAAAAGTGTCCCGCAGGGTATGCCTCCTCTGGTTGTTCATCGTCGTGATGTTCCATGTTGATTTCTGTTGATTTTTGGCACTAAGTCACTGTTGAACAGCACTTTTAGGATCGGCACTGGGTATACTTTCGCGTTTTGTTTTCGCGCCAGGATTATGTAAGTGCGCGGACTTGTTATTTATTCAATTTGCTTTTTGATGGCAGTGGGTCTTTAATCCACGAAGTCCCTGATTTCCGTTTTTTTCTTGAAGTTTCCTCGAAAAATCCTTTAAAGTCCCTGCACGGGCGCCACTTGTAATGTCCTATCTCAGGCTGAGGTATGCATCAGTCTGTCCAGGGTCCTGAATTACAAGATATTTCTAATTCACGAGGACTTTATCGGGAAAACCAGGAACTTTGCCAGCAACTGAAATAGAAATCACAACACTTTTTGGTTCTTTTAATTTTAATGGATTTCTTTATTCTTCCGTATTATTATTCTACCCGGTTATGTTATGTTTAATTGTTCTACGACGCGTATGGGGGTTTGACTGACTGCCCCGATGGCCGGTGGGCTGCCTTTTTATAGATCGGCCGGCCTTCCATGAATGTCTTATAGATATCTTATTTCTACTCCAGACCGTGGGAAGGGTTCTTACATAAATATCTATGGCCGAATTATAGTCTGCGCGTGCAGACGGGCTGATCGGTAACAGAAGGTTACCTAATCATTAGCCCTGCAGTCAGTGTCCAATATTCCCGGTAAGGAAAGTCGGAGACTGCTGACTGGCTTTCGCATGTGGGGGGTTTTGCCCGGTAATCGAGGGTTACCTAAGCAATCGCCTCCCAACAAGTGTCCAATGTCCCCGGTAAGGTGATCGATGTGCACCGGTACCGTGGGAAAGGAATGTAACTTAGGGAAATTTGAGGTTTTACTTAGTGTTTATTTATACGGTTATACATGTAGAGATATTTTCAACTTAAAGACAGGTGTTCCTGTGTTGTGACGAACCATGGGGAACCATGGTTCGTTACAATTGATACCATTATTAATGGTATTTTTGGCAATACAAATTTTTTGCTACCAAGTTAACTAAGTATATCAACCCCAGCTGAACTTCTTGATTTTCACCAATCGTTAATTTTTTAACAGTAGCTAAAAATAAAAATATCTTGTTATCAATATGAACTAGTAGAACCTACAATATTTTTTTTAAATCAAAAATAACAACTTAATTATTACTATCAAGCCCAAGATTACAAAATTAAGGGGTGTCCCGTTTTAATTTCAAAAAACATTTTTTAGGCTCAACCTAGTCCAGCTCTTCTCGTTTCATATTCACATACGCCAGTATCGAGAAGAAAAAAAACAACCCTATGCCTAGTGCGATTTTAATCAATATTAATAGGCAGCCGCAATTCCCTATTTTTTAAACAAGCTCATTTATTATTTTAAAGACGATATTTTTTTAACCTTGATACAGCCATGTCTGTCTTAACGTCTATTTGAATTTTCTATTCAATTTAATTTAACAAACTGTCCTTCTTTCTTTATATAGATCAAAGACAAAAGAGTAAAGGTGGTTCTGGAAGTTGCTGTTCAACAACGTGCTGCATTTTGTAACTAATTTTGTATATAAAATAAATTACTTAAATGAATTAATGATAAAAGAAGTTATACAAATTATTAACATTCATAAAGTTTTTAGGAATCAAAACAACAAACTTCGTTTCGTTAGAAACATTAATGTATATAAAAATATATTTTATTGATACACACTATAAATGCTGGAATTTGTAAGCATTAGCTAAATGCAAAATGCTTTTTCTGTTCTACGCTGTAACAGACTGCTTAAAAAATAATAGCATGTAATATATTACAATACAATATACGTTGAGAAATCTTTACCGTAATGTTAACTGAAAAAGAAAAAATCTGTATGCACTAACTAAGCAAACTATAAAAATAAGATAATCAAACCAAATGTACCCAAGTCTTAAATATAATATGTATGTATTTACACCCTTATGATTTTGACCAAGTGTTTGCTACTTCGGTGCTCCACATCCAACCCCACAAAATTGTATGTACATATATTCCTTAATATCATGAATAAGAGCGATATAGCCATGTCTGTCTGTCCTTCCGTCCGCTTGCCTGTTTCCATGTGAACTAGACTTATCAGAGACTACTCTATTTTCGTTGATCGACAACAGCCAAGGTCGAATAACTATATCATTGGTCGATGGAACAAATTTTAGTTTTTAATATTTTGTTTACATTTGTGTTTTTATATTTCTTGACGCGTAGTAAAATTTATAAATTTTGGTAATCAGAATCAGAAATAAGGTCGAAGAACATTTCGTTCATTCTTCATTTTATAGCTAAACATATGGATTTTTGTCCATATTTCTTATAAAGTTTGCTTGTGTTCAGTCAGAATGAAGCTATTTCGACCCCCTAAGGTATATATTAGAGCCCTAAAGCATACTTAAAATTATAACTATAGTAATGCTTTCGAGCATTACGCATTTTTTATTTAGTTAGTTAGTCACAAATAAAAATAGCTATTAAGTCTCTGAAAACACTCAAAACATGTTTAAGCTTGCAGAAATCACAAGTATTTGTATTATTATTTCTTCTCACCAGAACCAAATTATAGCTCAGTACAAACGCCAGCGTTCGTTCTGAGTGAGTGTTTTGAGCAATGTAAAAACTTAGTCGCGGTACCCATGTCTTCCTAGAAATGGGAAGGGCTCTAGTATAAATATTACATAGTCTTTATCAGACTCAACAAACAAATGTTCTCTTCTGTATCTATAAAAACTCGGCCCTTAGTGTGTAAACTATCTGAATGTTATTTTTCACCGCTCAGTGGTAAAGAACTACCACCACCGCGGAATCCTATATCATATATCTGTCATCGTTAATATTAAAGATCGATTGAAAACCAGTTATTGCAATGAATTGTGAGAAACGTTAAAACTCCTGTTTTTTTTTTAAGACAAGTATTTCAAATCAAAAACGAATCTAACTCGGATCGAATATTACAAGAAGGGTGGCTCAAAAATAACCAATCTTTTTTCTAATTTTATCTTTTTCGCTACAATGAATTTTCTAACGTAGAATCGTTAAATCCACGCCGATGACACTACTCGACATAATTTCGCCGCTTCGAATCAAACCAACTTTTTTGATAGATTTGGGGCTTTAAACATGTTTAGTGATAATTTTTTTTCTATGGCATAACTTTTTTTGAAGAATATTTGAAAGCTGTATTTTTTTAAAGCTTTATTCAGAGGTAGCGCTTTTTTTCACATAACTTAAGTATCTTACATTTGTTGTAATGAACTTTGCCATTCTGAAAAGCTAAAACTACCGCACAAAAAAGATCATTTTTGCATTTGAAAGCTTTATATTTCCCAAACGGTAAGCTGAAATCACAAAGTGTTTCGGTCTAATTAGCTATAAATCAATTAACTTTTCAGAATGGCAAGATTCATTAAAACCAAAGGTAAGATATTTAAGTTATCTGGAGAAAAGATTCTCTACCTCTTAAAAAAGAATATAAAAAATACCATACTTAAAAAATTCTTCAAAAAAGGTTTTGCCAAAAAACCATAATTCTTAAAAAAAAAAAATTTAATCTTACAATCTGTCATAAAAAAGTCGGTTTGTTTCGCATCGGTAAAAAAGTTCAGTTTTGTAGAGTAGTATAAGCTATGAATCGGTGTACTCTAAAAGAACCCAGAAATAACAGTAGAAATTTCTTTGCGACTGTAGTAGATGTGTAGTGTAGAAAATCATCCCGAGTGATTACGTCCATTTCAATTTTTCGGACTAAAACAGGCTAGTTAATCGTTACTAGAGAGCCAACAAGTTAAACTGGTTTAAAATTACCTTATGGCTATGATAACGATAGTTAAAAACATTTGCATTTTTTTCTGGCATCATCCCAACTTTTTTTAAACTTGGGCTCTGACTTTTTTTTATACCCGTACTCAAAAAAGAGTTAAGGGGTATATTAGATTTGTGGTAAAAGTGGATTTGTGGAACGCAGAGAAGGAAACGTTTCCGACCCCATAAAGTATATATATTCTTGATCAGCATCAATAGCCGAGTCGATTTAGCCATGTCTGTCTGTCCGTCCGTCCGTCCGTCTGTCCGTCTCGATGAGCGCCTGGATCTCAGAAACTATAAGAGCTAGCGAAACCAAATTTGGTTTCCAGACTTATGTGATATCACACTGCTACAAGTGTATTTCAGAATTTCGCCCCGCCCCCTAAAAGAACGAAAATCTGTGGCAGGCACAATTTTAAAGATACGATAAAACTAAAAACGCAGTATCGTAGAGAATGCCCATATCTACCAGATTGCCAAATCTGAACTAGATCGGATCATAATTATAGCCAGAATGAAGAAATCAATTTTCTGTTCCTTCCCCTGCCCCCTCCTGAACACAATAACGCAACTCATTGTCCTTCTCGCTCGCACACTCTGCCGCGTTCAGTGCGCGAGCAACCCCTAGCGGAGGAGATGTAGAATCTAAATGGTACATGTAGAATATACATGTTAGATGTATAATATAAATAGTATATGTAGATGTAGATAACAGATGTAGCAAAAAAATGTAAAATGTAAAATTTCTTTTTTTTTTTTAAGTTCTAAATAATTATATGCCTAAAAATGTATATGCTGACTGAGTACGGGTATAAGTAGAGTCGCGTCCCCAGAAGCGACTCACACGTTCCTTCTCGTTTTATTATTTTTTGAATATTCAAATGTTTTATTTCGGACGAAAACTTAAGTTTTTCCATATAACTTATTTATGATTATATTTTTATAGAATTCTGAACAGCTAATGTTTATCCATAGATTTTTATAAACGATACCTTAAACAACGCGCAATTTACGCTCATAAAGGCTGATTTTAAACGATGCAGCACTGCATGCAATCATACACGACATTCTGCACAGAATAACAAAATTTTGATGATTTATCGATGATGAGAGTTGATGAGAGTGACCAGGTGGACGAGGAAATGGGCCAAGACTCTCGGGCACCAGGAGGTGGCGCGTTTTGACATAATTCACAAAGGCTGGGACCGTACCATGATAACCGAACCAAGTCACGGTTGCAGATGGACTTGTGACCAGAGGTGCACCTCTGCTCTCTTTCTGACCAAAGCTGCTTGCAAAAAGATGCAGCGTGTGCACAAAGCGTGCAGCCTCATAGAAATAAATGGTGCACGTGCAGCCGCTGAACTTTGTGTGCATTTATATAGGGAGAGTGGCCGAAAATACTTCTTGTAGACCGATCGGAAGTTAAATTTTACTGAATGGTCTATGAAGTGTACATATTATAAAATGCGAAAATGGGCGTGGTGTAACGCGATAAAAAATGTTCAATATTTGCTTCTGAAGATAAATTATTTGAAGGGTCATCGGAAAACTACAACACGGAGCAGAAGACTCGTCATATTTTGTTTTTATGAGTGAGGAAAATCCATTTTGGAACGTCCACGACTCGAATTAGAAACTGACACAAACATAGGAAAAAACTAAGGACAGAAAAAACAACAACACAATAAAACAACGGTGAATCTGCGTCACGGATAGAAAAACTGCTTTATAAAGTTAGGCCAGCTTATGAAATGCTACATGAGCCTCAGCGTGCTTCAGCAGCTGAACTCCTCATTTTTTTATTTTAACATATCAACAAATAACATGGAATACAAATTTTTGAGAGCCAAAAAGACATGAAAGACGAAAAAAACACGTATTATCCAAAAGTTAAATTTTAGAAATAAAGTCAATACATTTATGTACAATATTCATTTAATGCAAGTTGAATCCAAATGATTTTCTTACAATGTTTTGATTATTAAAGACAAAGAAGTGCAGAACTCTGCGGACTCTGTAAAAAGCAAAATAACATTAGGTTAGACTTTCAATGGTATTTTTAGAAAGTACCGTTGAAATCTAAGCAAAATCATTGCACTATGTATAAAGTTTGGACAATAACCTGTTCATAAAGTCAGTTGTTGTTTGAGAATTTTAAGGTTCATATTTTGATTTTTGTGGCCTATTGCAGCACCCATTACGCGCTGTTTCGTTTAAAACTAGCTAATATGAAAAAACTAAGAACAGAAAAAACAACAACACAATAAAACAACGGTGAATCTGCGTCACGGATAGAAAAATTGCTTTATAAAGTTAGGCCAGTTTATGAAATGCTACATGAGCCTCAGCGTGCTTCAGCAGCTGAACTCCTAATTTTTTTTATTTTAACACATCAACAAATAACATGGAATACAAATTTTTGAGAGCCAAAAAGACATGAAAGACGAAAAAAACACGTATTATCCAAAAGTTAAATTTTAGAAATAAAGTCAATACATTTATGTACAATATTTATTTAATGCAAGTTGAATCCAAATGATTTTCTTACAATGTTTTGATTATTAAAGACAAAGAAGTGCAGAACTCTGCGGACTCTGTAAAAAGCAAAAGAACATTAGGTTAGACTTTCAATGGTATTTTTAGAAAGTACCGTTGAAATCTAAGCAAAATCATTATTGCACTATGTATAAAGTTTGGACAATAACCTGTTCATAAAGTCAGTTGTTGTTTGAGAATTTTAAGGTTCTTATTTTGATTTTTGTGGCCTATTGCAGCACCCATTGCGCGCTGTTTCGTTTAAAACAGCTAATATGAAAAAAAAAAGAAAAAAAAAAGTTGGTCTGATGTTGGATTGGAACAAATTATTTCTGAAGATTAATAAGAAGCCATAAAATATTTTTGAGAATGTTTATTAGGATCCGAAAGCAGATTTAAAATTCCTAAATTGTGAGACAAGGAAACCTGTTGAGACAGGCATTGAACCTAAAGAAAAAACGAGAAGAAACGTGTGGACGCGACTCTACTTTTATACACGTACTCAGTCAGAATATACATTTTTTGAGCTTATGATTTATGTACAATTTTAAGACATTTTAAATTGAGTGTGCGAGTGAGAAGGAGAATGA